GGGCGTGTCTAAGTACGTGCGTCTCCTTCCACACACACATACCCACTCGGATACACATCGCCATGGCAACGCTGACAGTGCTGGCCAGCCGGAGTGGCATCAATGTGGCAGCCCGTCCTTGTAGATAGAGTAAGAGAGAAGGGGACAAGAGAGGGGGAACACCAACATCAGCCTCACTGTGAGACTTTGCCAAATAGTGCTCCACCCAGACCCTGCCTTCCAGAACCAGGGTGAGAACTGGAAGAGATCAGATAGCCAGTAGGGCTGCGTGATTATGGACAAATTAAATCACTTTTTATTTTTTTTAAGCTGCAGTTAGATTATAAAATGGTCAGTTAAAGAAATAGGAAAATTAAACATTGCAAATGGATTTCTATCTCGAAAATGTGATTGAAATGTGAACACATTAAAGAAATATATATATATATATATATTTTAAAAAGAGTCAGAAGCATCATTAGTATTGTATAAAATCACAACCATATCAATTTGCCTGGCTACAAACCACAAGAGGTAAAGAAGAAAATGAAACCTGCTAGTGGATTTGATGCAAATAAAATCAAATAAAAATGAATGAACAAAAAGAGAGGGGCAGAGAGGGAGAAAGAAGGAAAGAAAGAGGCCATGGTTGCAGAAAGAGAGCAAAATTCTGTGTGATAACTCACACTAGGAAACAACCCCTTCTTCCAACACCCCAGCCAGTTCATCCTTATAACTGTTGCTTGTAAAAATAACTGGGTGCATTTGGCCACTCGGCAATGATAGAAATGTGTGCACAGTCAGACGCCTCAGAGCCCGTCACTCTGCACATTTATAGTCCAACTTATGTGGAGTGACTCGCTGTGAAAGGACATTAAAGTCATGTGAGAGAGTTCACTGCATTTAGCAAACCCAGCGTGACGATCATTACGGAAATGAATATTGAATGCTCAATCAATGCTGAGGAGGCCATTAGCTCATGCCTGGGTACAAGGAAACTGTTTTCATGCATGCTGCATTCTGTGTGTTGTTAAATGTACTTTGCAACATGTGACATGATATATGTTTAGTTATATAGTGTCACTTTAAAGATCTATCATGCTATTTTTAGGCATATATTATGGGTCTCAGATAGATAAAAAAAAAAGAAAAAACATATCTATGATGTGTTTTGCTCAAAATACCAAACAGATCATGCAATTTAGACATCCCTCATATCCCTCTGTTTCAGCCCTGTTAGAGAACTGCTGATTTGGGGTCCTTAGCTTGAAAAAAAAAAAAAAATAGGAGTTGGAGCTTGTGCCTGCTCAAAATTGTACAGAGATACTCAGCTAAACGCTGCCGTGATTAAATGCCATATCATGTTCCAAACCACATCAAGGATTATTTTTGAAACAGTATGGAGCTCAAATGCTTTTTCTCTTGCGGGTTTACCACAAGGTGAGTTTCTTTTTTTATTTCCTGCTTTTTTACACATACTCTCTCCAGTACAGGTTAGCTCTGAGTGTTAGCGATGCTTGCTAATGTAAACAAAGACCATATTACGTCCAAAACACGTTGTGCATTGTTTCTGATAGGGCCGTGGGTGTAAAGCCAGCCCACATTTAAGATAATACGTCATATCCGCAGCAAATCTGGATCAGCTCCGTTGTACCCCCGTTTTTAGAGATTTGGGTACGGAGGAAAAGAGAGAGGGTTTTGTTTTCTGACACTTTGTGAGTTCCCTGGCACACCGTATAAAATACATCAAAAAGTGCATTTTGCATGATAGGAGACCTTTAAGCAGTGTGAAAGGCCAGTAATACAGCATTGCTATACTAGATTTCTGTAAACATATATCGTTTTTTTGGATTTATCTACATTTTATTAGGATTATTTTATTAGATCACATGTTCCTTTTTTAAAAAAATGTTTTACTCATTTGTCTCATGGCTGTTCTTGTCTGAAGGCCAAATCTGTGTGTCTGCAACGAAGGACATGATGTGTACTGTCCGTCTTCCAGACATGTCTTCGTCTTTATGTGCGTGTCATTCTGTTCTTACATTGTACTCATTAGTGTCCTACAAAAAGAGGCTTACCCAGAGGACATGTGTGTGTGTGTGTGATTGTGCATGTGTGGTTTGTGTAGGGATGGGTACCGAGCCCCGGTATTAAACGGGCCCCGGGGCTGAATTATTAAAGGCCGTGGTACCGTTAAGCTCCGACGTTATCGGTCTTTTTATCGGTACTGGAGACATCTAAAAAATATGTCATGTGTATTATTGCTACACAAACATTATATTGCAGTTTTAGTGTCGCCAACTCCGTTTCTAATACGCAAAAAGACTGCAAAATTCGTCATTTTTTGTATTTTCGATCTCTCCAATCCAGACGAGAGATCTCTCTCCCCCGCCTGTGTGCGAGGGGGCGGGGCAGTTTACACACACGCAGCTGCTACATGCAGCAACACACACACACGGAGGAGATGGCGGAGAGAACGCGCTCCGAGGTGTGGTTAAACTTTACCCGTCTCGCCTAAAGTGCAATAAGAGTTTAGCATGTCAGGGCGGTAACACGAGCAATTTGTCTAAACATCTTGCAAAAGTGCACCACGTTCAGACGGAGGAATGCACCGGGTCCGACTGTCTCTCTAGTAGCTCTGTAGCCCCATCCACGAGTAACGTTTCCACGTCAGGTATATTATGTATGCTAGCAGCAACACACGGAGCTAACTCAATGATTCAAACATGGGTTAATGATTAGAGGGAACTGAGTTATTTAGTTTGTTAAAGTTTCAGCCATTCTGTTTACAGTTCTGTCATCAGATTATTTAATATGATTTGTTAAAACGTTCTTGTTTCTGTTGATGTGAAATATTATGTATTTCATTTAAATAAAAAGCAATGTTAGTTTTGTTCACAATTTGTTAATTTTCATTTAATTGTTTATTTGAATAGGGACAATGCACATTAATGAACACTTTAGACAAATAATGCTTCAAGTGTAAATATGCCGGATTTTAGCTTTGAGCTAATTTCCATCCGTAGTCCCTGACATACAACATATAGTTAGTTTACCTCATTTTTCTCTCCAAAAGAACCGATAAGAGTACCGTTAAAAGACCGGACCGATAAGCGGTATCGATAAAAGTAGTAGTACCGTTAAAACCTTAACGATACCCATCCCTAGGTTTGTGTAAAAAATAATTTAACCATCCATCAGTTAATATATCTCTTTAAAGGAAGCGCATGTTAAGATATTGCTATTCTTAATTCATTGGAAAATGTTGTTTAAAAAACGTCAATCAATGTTGTTCCAAGTCACAGAAATAATGAATGCCAAAAGGCTGTTGGAAAAGCTGGTACCTGAAGCCATCAAAAATGTTACTATAGTGTCCGTTTCACATTTGACACTGTAAGGTCATAATGAATACAACTACAATTATCTGGCTCTTGACGTCTCAAATTTGTCTAAAAGATGTGAGGGCTGGCCACATTTGGTAATAGCATTTTTATTGACCGATATTGAATTACTGTTAGCCAAATCTAGTTTGACCGGTGGCATGTCGGGTGTATTTTCCTGCTTTGTGTACAATGCTGGGAGAGGCTCCAGAAGGGAGGAACGAGGTTATAGCTGTGTATGTGATTTACTTTATTCCAGCCTGATGCGAGTGTGGACTCAGACCTAATAGTGCCAGCAGTATGGGAAGCAAGGGGAGTAGAACAAATAAGTAATCAGAGAAACATGTTTATCTTATTTCTGATTTCCCTCAACAACTACTGAGAAACATATCAAACGGCTGTCCAGAAATGTCACTGGACAAAAAACATTAACGATGGCGTTAAGAGGGAAAGTCACAGGGTCACCAAAGTCATTAGGATGCCATTAGCAAAAATGTCTGGAGAGATTTTCAAACAGTGGAACCACAAACAAACCGACAATGCCATCCTTATAACAATTGCCAAAAACATAGCTAATAATGAGAAATCTACAACAGCTTACATTGACCTGAGGTGGGAGAAATACTCAGATCTTGTACTTTAGTCAAAGTAGAAGTACCAGTGTATACTCTGTTACAAGTACAAGTCCTGTATTCAAATTGTTACTCAAGTAAAAGTATTGGCATCAACATGTACTTAAACTACCAAGTACTTATTATGCAAATTTGCCCATTTCAGAATAGTATATGATATGTTTTGATTATAATTATTGATCATTAAAGTGTTATCCAAGCTGGTAAAGGTGCAGCTAATTCTAAATCATTTGTATGCTGCAGGGTATCTCGTGAATTTACTCCGGGTGTAACTAAAGTCTTATTTAAGGGTTGTTTATATTTCACATCATTAAATCGAAATCTGCAAAGTAACTAAATATATTAAATCAATGTAATGGAGTAAAAGTACACTATTTATCTCTGACTTATAGTGGGTCGACGTACAAAGTAGCAACACATTGAGTTACTCAAGTAAATGACAAGTCCCTCAAAATAGTACTTAAGTGCAGTATTTGAGTACATGTACTTGGTTACTTTACACCACTGACAATGACCAAGGAAATGAATACAGCAGTAAAAAAATCAGTTCGACAAAAGTTTAAGTATCAATGTCAGTGTATGACTCCAAAACAACTGAGAACAGCTTCAGGCAAGAGCAAATAAGCCCCCACAAAAAGCCTATCACTGGTGGAGGCGTGGAGTTCTGTTCAACTGTCCAGGGAGGTCAGCGGGGTTAGTGGTGAAACGGGAGGGAAAGGAGCAGCTGGTGACCAGGCTAAAGAGGGGGGTAGAGTGTGCTGGCCAGTGGGTGGTTGGCAACTGGGCTAAATTTAGAGTAGAGAGGCCAACCTTGGTGTGGAATTGTCTACACTACAGACAGTGCTGGGAGGTTGAGATTTGCATCATGGGTACTGTAGATACTGGACATAGTGATGACAGGGATAAACAGAGACAGATAGCAAGGTGTTGGCTGCTATGTTTTACTATTTATAGGAGGAACGATGTGTGAGAGGGATTTATTCTACAATGCATGTGTGTTTGAACTTACAGCCTTCGTAAATATCCGTAGGGATGTGCACAGCGGTGGTGTTGTACGAGACAAGTCGTTTGAAGTCCGGATCCACCTCGAAATCATCCGGAAGATATCGGTTCTTCCTCCCTTTTACTTCTTCTGTCTCGTTAAGCTGCAAAAAAAATACAGAATTTGAGTTTTAAAACCATCCTGCAATACATGTTATGTTATAAAAGTGGTCTACGCATGTGTATGCACCTTCTGCTATACATAAGTACAGTTTCTTGTTACTGTGAGGGACAAGGTGTCAATGTCGACTATTCGCTGAAATTTCACAACTGACAGAGTAAAGTTTGCGAAACGGAAAAGGCACTGATTTATAAACCCTAGCATCCAGAGAGGAATTGTCAGTCAAATACAGAGTGACAGAAGTGTGCTGTGGGTGCGTGGCTCTTTCCTACTGGGACAGTGGAGGGGAATTAGATGCTGATCCTGGTTATGAGAGCAGACAGATGACGTCTGAAGCAAGGGGAGGCATTCAATGTCTCACGCATACCCACGTGTTATGGCTCTAAGAACATGTACTGAATTCACATAAAGTGACTCCTTTTAAATAAAAATACAGGCTAACATAAAATCTGTTTTTAGGTTTGTTTCTGCTGCTTGAGGTGTTTTATTTAGAAATTGGCATCTCAATCACACTGAAAGAATATAAAAGTATTGTAATCAAGTACTTACATCATCTTTGGCATTGTAGTAATCGATGTTGTCGAGCTGCAAATAGATTGAAAGAGAAACAAGAGAAGGCTCATTAGAATATAACAACCAATACCCACCCACCCACCAAAAATACAATAATGAACTTGAACAGGAGCAGCCTTTAACAGCCTTCTCTAGTTGAAAGCTTGAATGCTCTACCTGACTAACAACAACCTAGCACCAGTGAGAAGTGTGGTTGTTGTACCTGTAACCACACCCATTATAGTGTCACAGTGTACTGATGCACCCTGAGTACACTTCACGATCCCTGAAGCAAAGTAAGGTGTCTAACTGCTTTTAAGTTGCGCTTTATATCCACCAGTTAATTAAGATTCTTCACATAGGTGCCAAATTGTGTCTACCATGTTCGAATCCCATCTGGCTATTCTGTGTCTCCTTTACTTGATTTACCCTGTTAATTCCTTGACAGTATTAAGGGAGACTAAAAGTCCCAAGAGAAGCTGGCTGAAGTTTGCTCTAAAGATTGAGGCTAGACAAGATACAGTATTTTATCTGGAACAAAAAACAAGACAGATGGAACAATACTGATGGCAATACTACTGTAACTGACGTTGAGAATGACTGTGATCTAAGCTTAAAGGTGACTGTAAAACTATCACATTTTTGTTTTGTTTTTGTTATATCTGCAACTGTGGCAGCAGTGTGTGTTTGACACTGAGGATCTGTGAAGGAAGTGGTGTTGTTTTGCTCTCACACTGCTGGGCTTCCTGTCAGTACAGAGGCTAGCAGGGCGCTAACGAGCTAGCCTAGCTGCCGACATTAGGATGTCCGGGAGCTACAGAGTCCACTGACTCCTGCAACCTGCCTACCACTTCTTGTGCTGCAAAAATGGATCTGTGACTCTTCCTGCCATTGATACTGTCACCTTAGTGTAAACATTTATTTATTAGCGCATAATTAGCAATTAGCCCACACTGTGAAAAAGAAAGCTCTGTTTAGCTTCTTTGACCGTTAGTGAGTTGGACATGCAAGTTAAACTATTAGTGCAAACAGTAGGTGTAGTGCCCATATGCTGATATGTACATGCAAGCAACAACATACACAGGACACTGTCCATGATATTCTCTGTCAGGTCATGTTACTGCAGACAGGGTGCACCTCGAGAAGTGATGATAACACTAAGGTCACACCACCTCAGGGGTGTGACCGCAAAGAACACGTAATGTGCGAAAGACTGAATTATTTATGCAGGTTTGGTGTTTAGGTTTGGTGTGTACTGCAAAATCAGAGTGTACGTGATCTGTATTTTGTCTGGATAATAAGATGCTGTTAACATATTGAAAACCAAACTCATTATGTCAAAATGTGTAAAACTTAATGACTCATTCAATATGGCACCCACTCACTGAAAACAGTTATGGTGCTTTCCCCCATATTCACAGCATTTGCAAACACTTGTGTCAACGTCATAATGAAAAACCTCTAAAAAAGTGAATATGCATTTAATTGTATGCAACATTTCTAATTGACAGTGCTACCTCCAAACCCACTCACATACAAGTTTGATAAGAAATGTCCCTGTTTAGAGAAGCTGGATACAGCCTGTATATTAATAACAAGTGTAAATAGGGCCAAAGTCATTATAGTACACTGAACAGACACACAGCAGTCACAGCTTTTAAGTGTTTAAAGTCAGCAGGGAGCGGCGCCCAGTAGTATTGGCCCAGTTATCAGAGGTGACAGACACATGCGCATACACACACACATGCTCCACTTGGTGTTTCAAATACCCGTCATTTAGTTTGATATAAATCCAAACAACTACATCCTAATTCTTACATTAAGTAGGGTTGTGTTATTTCAAGTAATTATTAGCTCCATGTACATTGAAAAGGCAGTTAAAATAAATGTTTGATCAGGTTATTCTTTTATTTATTTAGATGTTCCTTCTAATCTGCTTTAGGAACAAGCCAAGGTGGCTGTCATTATTGTGTTGCAGAGCATTGCAATATGTGGCTTCATATTACAGAGAATCTAATATCCCACAGAGGATGAATAAAAAAAGAATTGACTGGAATATATTGGCATGAAACCAGAGAGGCTCTATCTTTGCAGAGACATATCAACATGTGCACAGCGTACATTAACCGACTGTCTCTCTGACTCAACAACAAAGATGCTAAAGCTGTGCAGTGATGAGATTTTTATCCGTCAACTATAGAGGCGACAAACCCCGCAAAGCTCTTATTGCTATCAAAAACAATACAAATCTCTGAAGCCACTGAAAGCCTCAGTACACACACTCCGTCAGAACACCAACAGGTTCATGCAGAGGACATGTCAGGATGAATTCTACATATGTGCCGGCGCTGGGACCAACAAACTACTTTGGGAATATCTATGGCAAAACAAGACAGCTCCTGTACCAGCGGGGTTGGAATAAACCAGTGTGTTTGCTAAGAAAAGAACTGGGTTGATTTTAGTATTCAGATATTATACAGAGAGTTTCCTATTGTGCTGGGGAGATATTTAATTGATTCAGGTATTGCAGGATTCCCCAAATCATTAACCCAAAAATAAATGACATTCACTAGCCAAGCATTTGGTGCCAAAAGAAAATTAAAGTCTCTGAGTAATATAGCCGATAAATGAATTCCTCCCCAGAGAGGATTTTTCGTGACATTTTTTCTCAGTGCAACACAGTATAAAGGCAGTTAAATAATGGGAACTTTTAATGGAAAATAATCGTTAAGGATTGGCAAACAACACTGAGGACTTCTTAAGTTAATATGCTAGTTGAAGTTCTTTGAAGTCCTCCTGCCACTGTATGTACACACCATATCATTTATCATTTGTTAAACGGCTGCCAAGAGGGTGAGGCTTTTCTCATTGCAAAGCAGGGGCAGGAAATTAGCAATTTGCATTTATGACATAATGGCCAGAGCTAAAACACAGCTGCACTAGCAATGAATAGCAGAGAGAGCTTCATTGACATTCTTAAGGACACTTCCTATGTGGAATTGGGCACTTTATTAGCAGTTGAAAGAGTAAAATAATGATGTGTTCATATTACTTGCTGTATCTCCTTCTAATATAGTTCTTATATGATTAATCTTGAGTATCATAGACTTAGCAGTGGGTGCGTGTCTAACCCTAACCCTAATCTGGTATGAAGTCATTACAGCACTAGTGTCATTGTAATGAGTTTTGCCATCCAATTATTACAATCATATTGGATCATGAATAACATGTGCAACCCCCCCCCCTCCCTCCACTCCTTATGGAGTTCACGCCACCACTTGATTTGAAGTGTAATGCAGCCAGTGTTAATGAACATATCAGACGGCTCACCTCGTTGTCGTCCCTCCACACGTGCTCCATCTGTAACTTTTCTGCTTCCACTGCCAGTTTCTGGAAGAAGAGAGGGGGATGTTAGACCCTGTTAAATATTCTCTTAAATACTAAAAATAGTTGGCTTTAAGCTACATTACTTTCAACATCATTATAATATTATATATATAAACGTTGTCAAAAGATGAGGTTTTTGGCGTTAGCAGATTTAGGGATTTAAAAAAGGAGAGCAAGGCACAGAGAAAAATTCAAACGGCTGCACAGACAATACAATAGCAATAATTTAAGATGATACACCCTCAAAGATCAAAATAAAAAATAGATGTATATTTAAAAAACAACTTTAGAAAGACTAGAGATACAACAATTTAAACCATAATAAAAAAATAAAAAAACGACAACAATACAATTAAAACAATGCCTTTAACTTAAAAAAAAATCTTAACACTTCAACAATCATGTTTTTAAATTGTAAATTGAAAACTCCAAATGTGCAGCACAAGAACATTGATCCCTAACCCTAAATGCAGCTGTAAATATGGATAATGTCAGAGCCATATGTGAAGTAATGACATCCAAAGTGCTGCTGGATCAGTGTGTTCATGGGGAAATTCCTCATTTCCTCTCAGCACCTGCAGGTATGAATGTGAACTAGCTGTGACACAATGTTGCGCTATAATTAGACACTCACATATTCCATCTTTTTCCTGATCTAGTGCTAATGACTGGGTTAATGGATTTATAATGGGCCCAGCTTTTAATCTGTACCTGGTCCAGAAATGCACTGTACTATTAATTTCCCCCGGGAAATATCAAATCCTGCTCCTCCTGCTTATGTGTGCGGTACTACGGGTTGCTAGTCACACAGCAAGAGCAGAGACTTGATGGGGGCAAGACAGTAAATTAATTGATAAAATGAGAGGAGGAGGAAGGGGGGTTGAAACAAGAGTTATTGAATTAATTCTGCGTTGATATTTAACAAGACAGTCACGAGAATCTGAGAGGCTAAATCGGATTGTGGATTGCATGCTGACATTAGTCACAAAATCAGACCTTAAAGTGGACCTATCATGCTATATTTAAATGATATATTGTAGGGCCATACCTATATAAGGTATATTTATACGTTTCTGTTTTCAAAATACCAAACAGATCATGCATTTTAGCCATGCCTCATTTCGCTCTATGTGCTGTTTGCTGTCTACGGGGCTGATCTCTGTGAGCTGCAGCTGACCACGCCCCCCTGCAGGAGAGGGGAGCCGTGCTCTGATCAAGTCAAGAGGGGGAGAAAAAAAGATCTCCGTCCTCCGTGTTTTATTATATAGAGTCGTTATTCATTTGTTTTAAAGCTCAATAAATAACAAAGAAGACCTTTGACCGGCACTTTTCAAATTTTGTCCGGAAGATTTAAACTTTAACGGACATCTTGACCGGCGAAAGAAACTGAAACTGAAACTCTGCCGCACGGTCCCCTCGTTCCTTGGAAGAGGCGGAGAGGTGGGTGTTTGTCATCTGCTGGTGGACTAACCGGAGAGAATTACAGTGCTTGCCTCGACGGGGAGGGATTGCATTGAATTAAAGCAGCGGGAGCAAACGCTTGCCTCGGGGAGGGAGAAAAAACAGCGGAGAATAAACGGAAGGGTAACCATGGTAACTATGGGCGGGAAGTCTTCTTCGCTGCTTTTGTGGCAGACGACAGCGCCACTTACAGGGCTGGCATATGTACTACAGCGTCTCCAGCGCTTTCGAGCGGCAATGGCCGGCCGTGGCCTAATCCCACATTCCCCTGATAGGTGGAGAGTTGGCCCAATAGCCGTAGCGCCACTTCTGTGACGTCATAGAAGTGTTCAAATCTGGATCAGTCTGTATCAGATCCGTTGCAGCCCCTTTTTTAGAGATTTGGGTATGGAGGAAAATAGAGAGGGTTGTGTTTTCTGACACTTGGTGAGTTCCCTGGAACACCGGGGACACATATTCATGTATAAAAGACGTACAAAAGTGCATTTTGCATGATAGGTCCCCTTTAAATATGACACCAAGTGTGCGTGTGTTTGTTTGCAATTTTTGAAATCACTCATCCAAAAGCAACCCTTTCACGCATAGAGGCTACTACAGTGGACAGCTTTTCAAAAGGTGTTTTCTTGTATATGCATGGGTTTTGATGGCATAGTTGCACCATCAGCCACTACATAGGACCCTATTGCATCATCCCATACACTGCCACTCAGTGGAAAGTCAGTGTAAGTGCATGATATATTTCTCTAAACCAAGATGGACGACAAAAAGCCAGATGGACCGAGGCCGTGGGTGTTTCTCAAAGTCGAGTAAAGCTGCTCCAGAGCCACTATTTCAAGCATACTACGTCATCGAGTGCCGCCGAAGGACTGTTCCAATGTCCAGCATACTTGGAATTCTACCGAGCCCGGCGTACTTCGTAGCGAGACATTTCGAGGCTGCACATGTGTAGACTCCGCGGTCTTAAAATCCCCACAATGCTTTGCGCACGAACCAATTTCCCCAAATCTGTAGCGGAAAATGCAAGGCGGGGCCTCTCATATGACGCACACTTGCTCGCCTGTTCCACTATTCGTTTTCCGCATGCCAGGAAGTATTCTTGCCTCGCTTCTGAAGCAAGTGACTCGGAAGACATGTGCTACCAAGCAAGCGTACACGACATTGAGAAACACCCCGTATCACTCGTCGATATCTTGCCAATCCTTTTATGGAAAGCGCCCCCTGCAGGTATAACAATGTTGGTGACATCAAGTAACAACTAAGGAATCATATAATTCATAAATTGTCAAAGTATTTTATGTTTGCAGGAAATTATGATTAATCACCTGTCCACTAAAGTGGACGTCATGCATCACTGGCTATATTTAAACTAAAATTCATACTGTTACTGCTACTGTTGTTCTTGAAAATACTTCATTTGCAATATCTTTTTGGTCCTTAAATCAATATACTTATGTTATTATAATGTAATTTTAAGTTTGCACATCTTTATTTATCATTTTTTCCAAATGTACATGTCTTCAGTTCAAACTTTAACGCATACTCACTTCTTCTCTCTGGCCTTCTAGCCTTTTCTTATCAAGCTCAACTTTTGTGGAATTAGCTTCCAGTTTGTGTTCGGGCTGTAGACAGCCTATCCATTTTAAGAGTACGCTTAAGGACTTCCTTTTGATAAAGCTTATAGTTGATAAAATAATCAAATGAGAGTGCTTTGACGCAGATACGCTGTGCCTCTTCACCTACATTTTGGTTCTTGCTCTTTCACTTAAATCCTAAAAATGTGGATCTTACACTTAAAACTAAGGTTATTACTACTCTTTCTATTTTCTCTTTATTCACAACCTTTTCCCTCTATGACCTCACAAGGTTTTATTAGAGGGAAACAGGTTTGCAGAGAAGGCTTATACCAGCCGGGGGGTATTATGCCGTAGCCACTGCGTACCTCCTAACCTCTCACCAATTCCAACTAAGGCCCCAGCGGGGACTTTGTTCCCTGCGTGTGCCTGTCTGTGTCTGTGTATTCGCATGTTCCGATTAACCCAGCCTCCCCCCATATTTTCTTTTTTTTGTGTCTATATCTTCGCCGGGATCCGGAGTCGAGGCTGATCCTCTTGCTGTAGTCCTGTGCCCTGGATCCTCTATCCTGAGTTCTGGATCAAGTCGTGGACTTCGGGTCGTGGCTGGGCCTGTCTCTGCGGTCCTGCCTGGCTCTCGTCATGCTGCTTCCCTGATGGCTCCCACAGGATTGTTCTTGACACCTTCGTGGATTCATCTTCTTATTATAGACACATGCATTTCCAAACATTCTGTCTACCTACACTGTAAAATGTATTATCTCCTACACACGGCATCTATTGCACTTCTGTCCGTCCTGGGAGAGGGATCCCTCCTCTGTTGCTCTCCCTGAGGTTTCTCCCATTTTTCCCTTTAAACTGTAGGTTTTTTGTCTGGAAGTTTTTTCTTGTACGATGTGAGGGTCTAAGGACAGAGGGTGTCATTTTCTCATACTGATATTCTGCACAAACTGTGCTGTTATATTTGCTGTAAAGTGTCTTTACTGTAAGGTAATTATTATATGTACAGCACTTTGGCTCGACCAAAAATCGTTTTAAAAATGTGCTATATAAATAAAACTTGATTTGATTTGATTTGATACGATACTGTCCACCTGAGTGGACATATAAAAAATAGTTTTTCTAAATTTGAAGAAACTAGATAAAAATATAAAAAATATATACATATAAAATCTTGTTTTTCATGCTCCAAGAGCAATAAAAACACTTGGTAAAAAAAATCCTGAGTGAGGCTTTCATAATTCATGCATGAAAGGGTTAAAACTCTCACACCACTCGGCTGATATTATTATAGACTCACAATAAGACTAAGTATACATAATTCATGTGTTTAACCCATCAGGGAGACAACAGATTGATGGTTGAGAGAACACAAAAGGGAAGAAATACATCAATCATCTTTAATTCTGACTCCAAACATGAAGTCATCCAGAAAATAGGCATTTCCTCACACACACACATATTTAGCTTCCACTTTCTGCCCTGCTGCTCCTTCTTTCTCTAGCCCCCCGTACTGCATAATCAATCGGAGCCGAGGCAACGTTTTGATAATGAAAACTGCCTCCTGCAGATCTGGCTTCAGATCACTCATGCCTGAACACCATGGCATCCCATAATGCATGCAAGGGGTTGACACTCTTCTGGTCTGAAACACGGTTACCTCCACAGCCTCTCAGTTGTGTCTCATTAGGGGGGGTTTTAGCAGCAACAGAGGAGTCACAATTAGCAAAAGGTGATATAGATATGTGTGTGGTTCTGAATCTTCTTTTGTGTTACAGTACGTTCCAGTTGTACTGTGAAGTGGGAGAATCCGGGTTCCTAGTCGGACATTTCAACTGGATGATCATTCAAAATGGAGGCTCTGCATATGAACATTAAGAGAACACTGTGGATATGTTGCTACAATGTTTGTATTCACAAAATACAACATAAAGCGTAGTAACAATGGCTAACCCGAGGTGACTGCTAAAG